ATCTCGGTTGAGAAGTGATCTCGGAATCACTTCTCCATCTCTGAATCTCACTTCTAACATTTCATCTCTGAATTAGGCTATCTTTGAATTGCTATGTCATATCTGAATCTCTTTACATCATGGATTGTCTGAGGGGCACTTTCATGTACTAACATGATTTAATTAACTTAAAACTAAATAAACAAAGGTTTAACTACTTTTATTAACTTAAAATTAAACAAAACGAATCTAAAAAACAATTAAAATTAAAATTACTGGTTTACCTACTTCGTTAACTTAAAATCTAACCAACCAGAGGCTAAAACACGAATATTCAAACATGATTACGAGAATCTATAAAACGTTTTCAAATTGTAAAAATCGATTGATACTTGGATGATGATCGACAATGGAGAATAAAGGTTTTCACGAAACTCGGTAATTATTGAACGAAATTGAAGACACATAACCAAAAATTCGAAAATTGAAGTCGAATTTTGTAGTTTACAGCAAGATTTGGCGTCAATTATAACATCTTATAACTTTTTTACAGAAATATGGAAGGAATAAAAAGGAAGAAGTAAGAGGAAAAGAGGAGAATATCGATGTAAATCAAGTCAGTGTTTAGATGTGAAATTTGACCATAGTACCCTCAAATCCTTTGCCCTTAGGAAGAAAAAGATAAAAAGTTCCAACAAATTGCAAAAATATCACCGCCTATTTAATTAAAAAAACAAAAATCCGAAATAATCACAACCACACAATTTTTAAGATTAAAAGTTTGGATTTGTCATTGCAGTCCTCATCGATTCCACCCGTTCCTAATTCTCTATTACAAGATAAAATCTTTGGATTTTTCTAGGGCTTTTTGGTAGGGATAATGCCATAAAAAGCCTTAAGTTTGACAGAAAATGTCGGTTTTACCCTCTGACGGATTTTTGGTTTGTTTATGCCGCAAACTTGTCACTTTTTTGTTGGTTTTGCCATTTTTACCTGTAATAGCAGGTTTACAGGTTACCATAAAATATTATTTGCGAAAGAACCATTAAGTTTACAAATATTTTTGCAAAAAACCCCTTTAGATTATAAACATATAAAATATAATTATATATTCACAATTTGATAAAACTAAATAGTTTTTAAATTTTAAATATCAAAATTTTATATCAAACCAATATAAATTTTACCGTACTTATATTACGAAACCAAAACCGAAATATATTTTTACCTTTAAATACGATAAATTTTATATTGGTTTGATTTAAACTTTTGATATTTAAATTTTAAAAAATTATTTAGTTTTATCAAATTCTAAATATATTTGTTAATTAATACTTAAACTTTTCAAAACAAAATTGTAGAAAAAAATTAATAAAAAAAACGTTGTTAACTAATAATTAACTATGCTATAATAGTTAAACCTTTTAAACATATAAAATATTTATGTTTGTGTTTCAGAAATAATAACTTTTAGAACTATATTTATTTTTATAAAAAAATATGATATATTATTATTTCTGAAATACAGACCTTTTAAACATATAAAATAAATTTTCCCTTTAAAAAATAATTGCATGGAAATAATCTCACTACATAGTGATTATGATCACCTCTAAAACTGCTTTACGAGCCATGAGTATATACTACGAATCCAAAAAACCACGTAAATCGCGGATAATAATAAGATTAGACAAGCATATATCACACCAACGATTTATCTTGAGAAGAATTTGAGATGTCACTTAACACTTTATGTTGATGATTTTTATATCATCAATATTATTTAAGTGTAATAGGATTAAATTTGTTGACCAAAAGTGATTTTGTTGAATATTGAACAAGTTAGGATGGTGTAGGAGTGCACACTTGTTCAAGTTTTTCAAGATTCAAAGTACATTGTTATTTAGGGGCGAAGCCCCTAAACAAACGGGGGTCAGGGGGCAGTGCCCCCTGGGAGCAGGGTCCCAGGGGCGGCAGCCCCTGGCGGGGTCCAAGGGGCAGAGCCCCTGGCTGGGATCGAAAATCCAATTTTAGAAAGTTGACCATTTTTTCCCTGAGATCCGTTTAATGACAGGTTTGGTAGTTTTATGACAGTTTTTAACTGTCTATTGACAGTTTTCAGACATGAATGATATATCCGTTTTTGGTCATTTTCTGGTACATCTTGAAGAACATTTTCACATACATTCTCAGATTTCATTCTCTGAATTTCATCCAATTGAGTGTTCGATCTGTACCATCGAAATACTTTAATTTGATAGTGAATCACGACTTTCAGAGAATCCAAGCAATCTATTCATCCCCTAATTTCTAACACTTGATGAGCATATGCCAAATATTTTTTTGTAGAGTTGTTACAAATCGGTCATAAGGAAGAATGAATGTCAATACCACAACTAGACAAATTTGTTTTGGTAGTAAAACTGTCCAGGACAGCTCTCTATCGAAATATGTTAACCTTACTAAGAACAATTTTATTACATTCGGTCTTTATATGAAGCGATGTCACTTTGAGGTTCCTTAATAACATATTCCATACGATTATTAAAATTTATAATCTTAAGGGTTTCTTTGTGAAATATATGTAAACTTAAGGGGTTTTCGTAAATAATATTTCATGGCAAAACCAATAAAAAAAAAATAACAAGCTTGCAGCATAAACAAATAAAAAATTCGTCGGAGGATAAAACCGACATTTTCGGCCAAACTTAAGACTTATCTCTTTTAGGGTAACCTTTTATGCAATAGATAAATAAAAATACTAGAGGGCGCGTACATGTCTTTGGTCGGTTGGAACGCTCTCCATCACGGGTTTGAAGTTACCGAACACATTCGAAAACCCCACCAAAAACCATTTTGAATCAAAGACTTTGGGGGCTCATCAGTGAACAGGTAAGCACTCTCAAGTCTCAACACCGTTATATTGAAAAATCAATACTGCTCGTAGTTAATTCCAACTAATTTTACCTACAGATTGACACTATTTTGCTGATTCATTATTACAGTTGTCAAAAATAAATGCCATTGAATGCTCACATGTTCTCCGGTACTAGTTTTAAATCTAATTTATACTTTTCTTCATCTTCTTTGTTCTAATGCTGATAATGAAAATGCATATTTCATATATTTTTATATTACTTTGTTAGATTTCGGGGGGGAGTATTGCTATGTAATTTGATTATTTTGACTTGTAGTTACTCATATTAATTGGAAAACCATTGAAGCAGCTGTCATTCAGTAATTGAAAGTTATGATCCGTACATGCTTTTTCTAACATACATGTAAGGCGATGTAGGTGAGAGTTTATGACACTTTATTTAAAGCTACTTGGATGTGTATATTTTTGGCCGAGTTGATTTTTCTTTTTTTCCACCCAAAACCTTCATTTCTAATTTTGGAAATAAATTCAAGTTTGTACATTCAAGAAAAGGAAATATCATTGTATTTTAGACAAAAGTGAGTGTTAATTATAGTCATAATTACATCATATACACTACTTAGATGCAAAGGGGAATTTTGTAGAAAAGGAAAGTAGTTCCATGAAAGCATGATACTACATGCCCGAAATGTGGAATCCTTCGTATTGATAAGAAGAATACGTTTCTTCTGCTAGAATCCAAATGATACAAAACATATGTACCTATTTATTACAAAGAAATACTACAACCATCGAAGCTGTTTAGTTAAAAAAAGGTATTGTACGATTTGTATGGTAGAGTTTTTGAGTGTCTTGTATTTTACCATGCATGGAATTTTTTAAATTGATTACCATATTAGGGGTAGAGCTTAATTATAAGAAGTGGTACCACACTAAAGTATGTTGTTAGCTTCAATATGTTGAAAAATTTCTCTAATAATTGCATCTTTCTACCTTGTCCTGATCAGAAAATATTTCTTTTATTATGATTGTCATGTGCAAAGCTATCAAAGTCTACCAACAATATATTAAGACTACTAAAGTAGCTATCACATGATCTGGCAACTTACCCCACATAAAGTTTGCATATACTTTTACATGTTAATGAATAGTACTCTCTTGCAAAAGGGTAAACACTAAACACCCCTACCAACCGGTCTAAATGAAAAAAAAAAACATACTTCATGTTATTTGTGTATTATAGCATCATACTTGTGTTTCTTTCTATTACAACATTATAAATTTCAAATCTTTTTCTTGTTAAGGCATTGTATTTTGAAAAAAACTTCCTTAGTACTATACTTTGAATAATCCACTCAATTGTAGCAGTGAAAATTGTTTTGTATTTGGATGAAATTGCTATTATTCGGTAGAATGTTGAAAATAAAATTGTGTAACTAAAATAAATGAAAGTAGATTTCTACAATAAACAAATCAAGGAATGTAAGTAGCAATTTCTTGCATGTAGGTACATTCTTTAGCAACAAAGTTACTCAAAATCCCAATTTATGCCAATTTTCATTTCTATGTAGGACCAGTAATTTGCCTATGGTATATATATATATATATATATATATATATATATATATATATATATATATATATATATATATATATCCTTGCTTTTACCCTGATTGTGACTGATGATCATTTCCTTTTTTACAAGACCATTCATATGTTCTTTTATGGAATGTACGCATTAATATTTCAGTGGATGTTACCAGTATTACCCACAAAGCATTGTTGTTATAATTTACAAAACTGGAAAATCAAGAGTTATTAATCCTAATTTGAGTTGGTTATTTGTGCATTCGCTTTCATCAGGTTAAACAGCCGACAAATTTGGTGCATTGGGTTTGTATTATTTTGTGGCCCATGGTTCTATGTGTAGCTATAGTCATAGTAGTTATTAGCTTTAATTAGAAGACTAAATCACAGCCATTGAAGATTTCAGAAAAATGAGGCTATGTGCATAATCTTGATCTTTTTCCTTTATTAAAAGTTATAGTTAAAAAAAAAACGAATTGTTAGTTGCTCAACTATTAACTGCTTCATTTATTGGCGGGAAATTGACATCATCTTGTGCATAATGAAATGAAACTTCCCACATTTCATTTTTCATTTCTAACATACTCTCTCTCTCTCTCTCTCTCACACACACACACACACACAAACATTCTCTTTGCAAACTGTCAAAATAGCTTCAAAAAATGGGGGAAGTTGAAATTTTATCAAATCAAGATTATGGTGAAAACCCAACTCCAAAGGTGGAGTTAAAAACGGATTCAAGTTCAAAAGCTTCATTTTCGGTATTATTTTATGCAGCTGATAAATGGGATTTGCTTTTAATGTTGTTTGGGAGCATTGGAGCTTGTGTTCATGGTGCTGCTCTTCCAATTTTCTTTGTTTTGTTTGGTCGAATGATTGATTCTTTGGGCCATTTATCTTCACATCCTCATAGATTGTCTTCAGAGGTTTGTAAGGTAAAAAAATATGATCATTTTATTAAACTTTATTCATTCTCCCACTTAGTTAAATACTCACCATTTGCATTTTTTTTTTTTGTGTGTGTGTGTGCAGAATTCTCTATACTTGGTTTATCTTGGACTCGTTGTTTTTGTGTCATCATGGATAGGTACATTTCTTTTGCTTTGCTCTTACTCCCTTCATTCCATCGTTACTTTTTCTTTAAAAAAATCTTGAAAGTTAATATGCGTTTCTTAAATAACTAGCTTTGACTTGAGGATAATTTAACATGGCATTGCATTAAATTATTTCAAAATTTTGTTTTTGCTTTTTTCTGAAATGTAGCTGTTTTTTCTCCCTTTTTTTCAAACTTATGTAGTTCCATTTTTCTTGTTTATAAGTTTTCATTTTGCAAATTTATAAAAGATGGTAAAGTGCACCATCTTAGTGGATAAACCCGCCCTAGGGCCCATCACATGGGAGGTTAATAGTGTTTATAATTCTAAAATAAAGTATATAAGTATATAACATGCATTTTTTGTAATCTTTAAATATTAAAAATTTCCGTTTCTTTTGTTCAAAATTTCTATCTATAAATTTTAGGAGTAATAATTATAAGTACTCAATTAATGATGTATATTTTATAAAAGAAAAAATAGAACCCAAATTCGGCAGGTCGGGGGACTAAGATAACAAGTCAAAATGACTTGAGGTCAAAATGTGTAAATATTTATTTTGGGTGAAATTGTACAGGTTGTGTTGACCCCACCACCTTACTAACTTTTTGTCTTTTTTTAAATGGGTACTGATATTTTCACGATGAATCAAAACATCTTATTTTTATTTTGATGAATCAAAAGTGGAAATATCTATCGGCATTCACAATGCATTGAACTTTATAGAGTTCAATAGATTGTCACATCATCTTCTTATAATCTATATAATTCTATCATTTTTTTCCTACAATGCATTAAATTCTACAAAGTTCAATAGAATATTACAAAATATAATTTATATTATATATTTAAGAATTAAAAACTTTCTTTTTTTCAATTGAAGAGTTCAATAGTCTTTGAACACCAAATTCATTGAATGTCAAAGTGGCATCTCACAATGATAGAGTTTCATCCATTGAATGATACATAGACTTGCCATTTCATTCAACTCTCTCATTAAATTCACAATTGTGGATGTTCTTATATTTGACGGATAAATAAAATATTTAATATGATTACTAATACTTATATTTAAAATGGTGATTTACAGGTGTTGCATGTTGGATGCAAACAGGAGAAAGGCAAACAAGCCGTCTGCGTTTCAAATATCTCCAATCTGTGTTGAGAAAAGATATTAAGTTTTTTGACACAATAGCCAAGGATAAAAACATACTTTTCCACATTTCTAGTGACGCGATACTTGTGCAAGATGCAATAGGTGACAAGGTACAAAAAAAAATAATAATAATAATAATAAAAAGAACTCATAACTATAAAAAAATCGTTTATCGGGTGTTTGGATGTAGATTTTGAAATTGATTATGCAATAATCTATTTTGGTAAATTGCAGGATACTTATATTTTTTGCCGAAAATTATAATATGTAACTCATAAGGGAGGAGGGAGTCATTCCCTCGCAACCCATTGAACCTATTAGTACATCAGCTTTTTTTATTTTCTCTTTCTTCTATATTTCCCAACCCATATCATATGCAAACCTTATCTTTTCCAACCCACTTAACCCACTTTCCATATCATTCTTTTTCATTTTTTCATTTTTTTTGCTAATTTAAAAAAAATTCTAAAATAATATTAAAAGTAACATTTAATATTCTTTTTTATTTAATTAAAATAGAAAACATAAATTAAAATAAAACATAACTTTTTCTTGATTTTTTTTTTGCTAATTTAAAAAAAATCTAAAATAATATTTAAAATAACATTAAATTAAAAAACCACACTACAAATAAAAAAAATACACGATAATTATAAAACACGATAATTAAAAAAGAATACATTTAAAAAAAACAACATAATTTAAATCCTAAAACGACAATTGAAATTAACTAGTTATTATCTAGAGTTGGAATGTAGACATGTTCAATGTGATCAGTAAGATCAGATCGAAGTTGGTGGTGGGTTTCAGCATTGCGCAATTCGTGTATTATTTCTTGGTCATCAACTTCGTCGGTGGGGGGATCGAACTGATACACAGGAGATATCGCAGCACCCTCATCTTTCAATATCATATTGTGTAGTATAATACAAGCGTACATTATATTTTTTTTGTTTTCTTCACCGTCATAGCTCGTGCAGGCATCTTTAATATGTCCCAACGTCCTTTAAGGACCCCAAAAGCACGTTCTACATCCTTTCTTGCTGATTCTTGTGTCGCCTTGAACCGTTTCTTTTTGTCGGTAACCGGATATGGATATGCCTTCACAAATACAATCCATGGTTGATATATTCCATCCGCAAGATAGTAACCATGTTTATAGTGTTCACCATTTAGATAAAATGAACAATCGGGTCCTGTTCCATGATATTTCTCATCAAACAATGGTGATTGGTAGAGGACGTTTAAATCATTGTTAGACCCAGCTACACCATAGAATGCATGCCAAAACCATAAATCTTGTGACGTCACCGCTTCTAGTATCATTGATAGATACTGATGGTCACCTCTCATGTATTGGCCTCTCAATTCCGTTGGACAATTCCTCCAATTCCAATGTGTGCAGTCAATGCTACCAAGCATTCCAGGGAATCCATGTCTAGCTTCATGTGCTTCATACAAAAGTTGAATGTCAATGGATGTTGGATGGCGTAAATATTCAGCCTTGTAAATTTGGACAACACCATAGCAAAAGTTTTCAAGAGCTTCACGAGAAGTTATTTCTGAAATATTCAGATACTCATCTAACGAGTCTGGGTTATAACCCTTCGCTAATTGACGTATTGTTGATGTGCATTTTTGTAGCGCACTAAAACTTCTTTGATTTGTTGCATCCCATGTTGTTTGAAAATAAGGATAATTCGTCTCCAGGTCACCAACAAGTCGCATAAACAAACCTTTGCTCATACGAAATCTTCTGCGGAATTGCACGTGACCATAGGTTGAATCATCTGCAAAATAATGTCGGATCAGCAGTTGTTCAGCCTCTAAACGATCTATGTGGAGTGTGTTTCTCCTTTGAATGTTGCTTGAACTAGCATTATTCTGAAGAAGCAATTGTGCAGTACGAGACAATACATGTAACAAATTATTGTTGATAAGTTCATCCTCAGATGATGAACTATCATCGTTAACTTCCATTACTATTTTCCGAATGTTTGGATTCAAACATACATATATATAGATAATGAAACAAGCATAACTATATATAGATAATGAAACAATGATACACATAGAGAATCTTAATAAAAAGAAAATTAAAAATAAAAATAAAAATAAAAAACATAATAATAAAGAGAAAGATTCTCCAGTCATACGATGTCGACATTTTGAACTTCACATGTTATCCAACTCCCAACCATACTTAGTTGCAATTTGTCGTTTCCTTTCAAGCACCGTGCGCAAAATACCTCCAGTCAAATGATCATGCGGCCGGAGAAAATACTCCATATCTTGGTTCTCTATCTCCCGATCCAACAATTGAGCTTTTCGTTCTTCATTGGTTTCGAGAATGCGTAATTTTTGTTCCCGGTACAGTTGTCTCTATTCCGCCTCTATTTCGGTTGCAGTCTTGATGCCGACAATTTGTTTGACGATATCAAACATTTCATTTTCTGTTGATGATGTCGATGTCGCTTTCTTTCCTTTTCTTTTTCTCTGGGGCGGTGAGTCTTCAACACTAAATGACTATTGTTGTTGGGGAGAGAATCCAGGAGGATACTGTGGATCAGATGATGATGTGTAGGTGTTGGATGAAGATGTTTTGGTTCGTTTCGAAGAAGGATGTGGGGAATCTTCACCCACTTTTGTAACAAATGCCCATTTTGCGTTATCTTTCAACCACTCCCAAGCTTGTTGATGAGGAAAACCTTTCTGGTTAATAGTCCTCCGATACTCACTTAGTGAAGATTGTAAAACATCAGCCTCAGATCTCCCGCTAGCCACACTGTTCATCTTATGGTTATAGATACCGTTGAAAGCATTACATTTCTTTTGGAGGTCTTTCCATTTTGAGTTTACTTGGTGTCGTGACCGATCCGAACCTCCCATTTAAACATTAAAATGATCTAGAACCCTCTCCCAAATACATCGAACCTTTGTTGATTTCCGCGTTGTTTATCTTTAGAAACATCGACATATGCCCTAGCCAAAGCCAACTCTTCGCGTTCCACCCATTTCTTTCGCTTCTGGCGGTGTGTATAGTTGTGTTTTTTCTCAGCAACGGGTTGCAACTCCTCGCTAGTTTCTTCTTCGTTTCTTTCGGGAGTCGGGTCGTCACTAGAACTGTCAGATTCTTCATTCTGAGCATCACGAAACTGAAAATTCTCGGGTTGAGAAGATTGGAATTGGGTTTCTGGAACCCTTTGAGAAAACTGATTCCATAGATTATAACTCTGATTTTCCTCTGGAAGCCTAAATGTGTTGTAAGATTGTTGCACCAGGAAATATTGTTGTTGGTAGTTTTGGTAGTTTTGGTATTGCCGATAGTTTGGATTTTGAAAATCTTGAGAAAAAAATGAAATATCTTGACTTGAACCGCATTGTGTGGATTTACGTTTTTGGCTAGAACCGGTTTGTTTAGATTTGCCTCGGGAATCCATTGAATGTAACTAAAGGAATCGAATGAAATATAAAATTTTCTAGAGTAAAAACACTACAAATAAATGAAATATGTATTATGTATTTATAAACTTCTAAAACAAAATAAATAAATAAATAAAAAGAATCCGTGACTATGGTCAAATGGAAAGTGTATATAGTCAAAGTGATAGTGACGTTTAATTGAATTGAAGTAATGGTGCAGGGAATCTCTTTTGCTTCTGAAAAAGTATTTTACATTCATTCACAAGAAAATTAATAGTCCTTATATTTTAACGGGTTCACCAACCCACTTTAACACAATTAAACCACGGAACCCGCTCAACCTAAATTGAAGGAATTGTTTCCCGGCGGTACCCCCGGTACCAACACCCAAACCCACAACGACTCCGTCTTCCCTAAAGCAACATTCTTACATTTTTCTACACATAATAGCAACCTAATTACAATTCATTACCCATGCATAATAGCAATATATTTATATTTTTTACCCATAGTAGCAATATGCAACAAATACAATAAATTTGTACATTGCTATTGTGGTGTAAAAAAAATACAAGTACGTTGCTATTATGGGAAAAATGGAAAGTATATAGCTATTATTTGTAAAAGAAATGTAAGTATATTGCTGTTATGGCTATGATAAAATTTGTACACTGTGAATATGTGTAACAAAATTAAGTAATTGCCTATATTGGTAAAAAAAAGTAGAGTATGTTGTTGTTCTCCTTAGTTTTCCCTAATATATTCTAGTGTTTGATGATATCTTCAACAATACTAATTAGTAAATGGTGGAGTAAAATAACTTAAAGCACCCTTAGTCACTTAAAAAGATGACCTTAATATTATTTGAACAATTTTGTTAAGTTTTTTATTGTGTAAAAATGCAGATAGGCCATGGTTTACGTTATCTTGCACAATTCTTTGTTGGATTCACTGTGGGATTTACTTCGGTATGGCAACTCACACTTCTCACATTGGCAATTGTCCCACTCATAGCTTTTGCTGGAGGAGCTTATACAGTGGTCATGTCTACATTGTCTGAAAAAAGTGAGGCTGCTTATGCTGAAGCTGGAAAGGTCGCAGAGGAGGTAAAAACACTTGCTAAAATATTTATTTTCAGTTATAGCAACTTGAAAAAATTATAAAGAAATTAGTTCAAGATTGCAGAATTTGAAGTGTACAATGAATTACGTGTCCACAATTTTTTTTTCGTAAAAGCCCTTTCATTACATAGCTAGGAAGAATCATAACATAATGTTAATAGCAAGTTGTTAATATAGTAGAATGAATTGTTTCTAGTATCATTTTTCAAATCAAAGTATGCAAGACAAACTTTAAATCGGAGGGTACAATGAATTTCATCTTCGTCCCATATAAAATGAGTAAATTTCCATGTTATGTGTTTGCACTTTTTTTTAGTTCAGGACCAAAAAATAATTGTTTTTTTCAATTTTGGTACCTACTTGAGGATTTCATAACGTTTTTTTATCTCTGTCCCAAGTAAATGACTATTTTTTCCCTTATCTTATTTTCTTTTACAAAAGTGTTATGGAACCCTGAAACTAGGTAGGGACCAAACCTGAAAAAAGTTGTTTTTTTGAACCTAAACCAAAAAAAAAAAGTGCAAACTACATAGACCAATTTTGTAATTTAGTCTCTTATTTTAATTTTTTTCACAATACAGTTTTTTTTTTCATGCCTAAGGGAGAATTTTTGTTTTGTGTATATGGATTTGTCAGAATATATCACAAGTTCGTACTGTATATTCGTTTGTGGGGGAGAATAAGGCAATTGAAATGTACTCTATGTCACTTCAAAATGCATTAAAATTTGGGAAAAAAAGTGGGCTTGCAAAGGGAGTGGGAATTGGGTTCACATATGCACTTTTGTTTTGCGCTTGGGCTTTACTTTTATGGTATGCGGGTATACTCGTGCAACACCATCGCACAAATGGTGGTAAAGCATTCACAACAATCATCAATGTCATCTTCAGTGGATTGTAAGTTCGCGTTATTAAATTTCAGCATAGTTTTTTGAACAATATATAGATTAGTAGTTGTAATTTCCATGTTTTAGCGATTATTTCACCCCTTGACTTTTTAAATTACTAATTTTCATGTTTATCAAATTTTAAAAAGGGAAAAATACTGAGAAACACAACTTGCTTTCATCATATTATTGATTTAGCCGCTTAACTGTGTTTTGTATACCATTATATTCTTTTAGTATATACTGTATATTGCATTTTTCGACCATGTGCTTATAGCAAAATCATGATCGAATTGAGTCCTCCGTAGGAAGTTTTTTGGTGATTTAATCCTTGTGATTTCAATATATTAAAAGCAAAAGCCAGCGGGGAGCTGGGCAAAATAACAGTGACCCAATTCATGATTTTACTATAAGTACGATAAAGACATAAGCAATTTACTCTTCTTTTTTAACCATTTAGAACAATCACTTTTCCTGATTATCATCTTGATTCAGCCACTTTTTATGATTATTACAATAATAGTTTTGTATTTAAATAGATAAAATGAAATAGTTCAGTGCGTAAATCAATAAAATGTTGAAATTATGTCATGCTTTTCCGGTTACCCGATTTTAATAAATCTAGCTATTTCCAGGTTACCCAGATTTGAATAGATCAAAATATAAAAAATCACAATGTACTTCCACCATTTTATTGACTTACCACTCAACTTTTTTTTTTTTTTTGTGATTGTTAAAAAATAACTTGATGGGTGAATCTATTAACAGTTGAGTGGCACTCGATAAAATAATGAAAGTATGTTATGCTTTACCCAATACCTATTTGTTTGTTTTTTAAAGCAAAAAAAAAACACAATATATCTTAAGCATTTGATCTATTTAGCTCTTTTAATGATTATTTTAATAGTATTCTGACGGTTAACTTGATAAAAAATAACATTTTATTGGCTATATGGATAGAATGGTGAAAAGGCGTTATACTTTTTGGCCTATTGCGAGTACATAAAGTTATCAACAAGGTAGGCGACTTAGAAAAATGTGTTTTTTTTAACCGTTAAGAAGTATAATGATTTAACCATTACAAAAGTAGTTAAGTAATAGTATAAAGTTTTTTGTATTTCATCTCTCAAAATTGGTAACCTGGAAAAATGTTTATATCCCCCACATAAAAAAATGGGGTAATAAAGAAAAATATATTTAACTGTCAAAGTAAAACGGCTTAATCACTAGGAAAAATCTGTTACGTGGCTAAACCAATAAAATGGCAAAAGTACGTTGTGCTTTTCTGTATTCCATCCAAATTTTAATTTGGTTTTCTAGAATTTAACGAAAATCAGAACACCTGATTTTGTAGTGCTCTTGGTCAGGCTGCACCAAATCTTGCGGCCATTGCTAAAGGTAAAGCTGCTGCTACAAACATCGTAAGCATGCTTGAAGAAGACATTGACAGTACAAGAAAGTTGAATTCCGGAATGGCATTCTCAAAAGTGGCCGGGAATATCGAATTCCATGAGGTCTGTTTCGCGTATCCGTCTCGACAAAATACGGTTTTAGAAAATTTGAGTTTTTCAATCGGTGCGGGGAAAAAGATTGCAGTTGTTGGTCCAAGTGGTTCGGGAAAAAGCACAATCATTTCTATGATCCAACGATTTTATGATCCTATCTCAGGTATAATTTGTTAATATGATTATGAAACTATATTAGTTAAATTATAGTGATGAGTTAAGTGCACAGTTATGGAAAAACGTGTAACACTTGTTCTAATCTGAATTTCTAGGGCAAATATTGTTAGATGGCCATGATATAAAAACTGTGCAGTTAAGTTGGTTAAGAGGGCTCATGGGCCTAGTCAGTCAAGAACCAGCCTTATTTGCCACAACAATAGCCGAAAACATTCTGTATGGAAAACCCAATGCCGATATGGCCCACATAATCGAAGCCTCCATAGCCGCAAACGCCCATTCTTTCATTCAAAAACTACCGGAAGGCTACCAAACTCACGTCGGCGAAGGCGGAACCCAGCTTTCCGGTGGCCAGAAACAAAGAATCGCAATCGCAAGAGCCACAATTCGAAACCCTAAAATTTTACTTCTCGATGAAGCAACAAGCGCCCTCGATTCCGAATCAGAACACGTCGTTCAACAATCGTTAAACACCGTCATGTCAAATCGGACCACCGTCATCGTCGCTCATCGATTATCCACAGTTCGAGATGTCGACACCATTATCGTTCTGAAAAACGGTCAAATCATCGAAAAAGGTAATCATTTGGAGTTGATCTCTAAAGGCGGAGAGTATTCCGGTCTAGTAAGTCTCCAAAACAATTCGGGTCAAACCGGGTCGAACTCAAACCCCCAAAACTCGCCAGATACTACCCGCACCAATTTCGAAGAGTTTGACCCGATAACAACAAATTTAAATACACTGAACTCAAATGAGAAAAACCAATCGGCGTCCACATCTTCGAAGAATACGCCGTCGATTTGGGACCTTGTGAAGCTAAATCAGCCAGAGTGGCCGTATGCGGTGGTGGGATCGGTGGGTGCGATTTTGGCGGGAATGCAAGCTCCATTATTTGCTCTTGGGATTACTTATATCTTGACGTCGTTTTATTCTCGTGATAATTCGAAAATCAAAGATGACGTGGATCGTGCATCGCTTATATTTGTGGCGGCGGGTGTTGTAACGATTCCGATTTATATGTTGCAGCACTATTTCTATACGTTGATGGGAGAACGCCTCACCACTAGGGTCCGTTTATCCATGTTTTCAGGTTCGTTAACTTTCTTAAAGTAGAAAAAAATTTGTATATTTATTGTTATTGAAAAATTGAATTTGCAATATTCGCATAGAAATACCATTAAAAATGGTAACCGGTTTATTTTTTATTTTTTTCAGCTATACTAAGCAATGAGATTGGTTGGTTTGATTTTGATGAAAATTCTACGGGATCGCTTTTATCAAAGTTGGCAGCAGATGCAACACTAGTACGAAGTGCATTAGCAGATCGTCTATCAACAATCGTACAAAATATAGCGCTCACAGTGACTGCGTTTGTGATCTCATTTATATTAAGTTGGAGAATTGCATTAGTTGTCATTTCGACTTTTCCCCTTTTAATTGCAGCTTCCTTAACAGAGGTTAAACTTTATATTAATCATTCTTTCTATATTAAGTAAAAAAAGAAACAACAAATGACAATTTGTCTTTTGTTATGTTTGTAGCAACTCTTTCTTAAGGGATTTGGTGGAGACTACACAACTGCGTATTCCCGAGCCACATCCGTGGCTCGTGAAGCCATGACTAACATCCAAACCGTAGCCGCTTTCGGAGCCGAAGACCGAGTCTCAACTCAGTTCGCCGCCGAACTCGACCGCCCTGGGAAACAAGCTTGTCTCCGCGGTCACATATCGGGAATCGGATACGGTTTTTCCCAACTCCTAGCATTTTGCTCATACGCGCTTGGCCTTTGGTACGCATCGGTATTAATCCAACACAAAAATTCCAATTTCGGCGACATTATTAAATCCTTCATGGTCCTAATAATCACCGCGTTATCAATAGCTGAAACCCTCGCACTCGCCCCCGACATCGTGAAGGGGACACAAGCACTCGGTTCGGTATTCGAAATATTGAACCGAGTGTCTGCTATAAATCCCGACCATCGGGATTTATTAGCAGTAGATAACATCAAAGGAGATATTGAATTTAGAAACGTGAGCTTCGCGTACCCGACTAGACCGGAAATTAAAGTTTTGAATGGTTTAAATTTGAAATTAATGGCGGGAAATAGTTTGGCGGTAGTTGGACCGAGTGGGTCCGGGAAAAGCACCGTGATCGGACTTGTAACGAGATTTTATGATCCTGATCTCGGTGCAATTTTCATTGACGGTTTCGATATCAAGAATTTGAATTTAAAATCGTTAAGGAAACGAATTGGATTGGTTCAACAAGAACCATCGTTATTTTCAACGAATATATACGAAAATATAAAATATGGTAATGAAAACGCATCCGAAATTGAAGTCATAAACGCCGCAAAACTTGCGAATGCTCATGAATTCATTAGTCGGATGCCGGAGGGTTACAAAACGGATGTAGGGAACAAAGGGGTGCAGTTGTCCGGAGGACAAAAACAACGGGTGGCGATTGCGAGAGCAGCATTGAAAGATCCGTCGATTCTTCTGTTAGATGAAGCGACGAGCGCTCTTGATACAGCCTCTGAGAGGCTGGTTCAAGAAGCGCTTGATAAGTTGATGGAGGGAAGAACCACCGTTGTGGTGGCCCACCGCCTGTCGACAGTACGTAATGCCGACAGTATCGCGGTGCTCCAGAATGGAACGGTGGTTGAGAGTGGGACACATGACATGCTTGCTGGCATGCCAGGGAGTGTGTATGCACATTTAGTTAGTCTTCAAGAAGAGAAAAGCATGTAGTGTAGGGTATATATTTTTGGTAAATACTTAATTGTTGTTAACGTTAGAAGAATGATAAATTGATGGTATATTTGTGTTGCCATATATACCATACTGCAATGAATTTGTACCGTACAAATAGCAACTGCAAAGTGTTTCATGAATTTCTATCTTGTCACAACATTAGATGTAGTTTTTATCATATTTGATCGTTGCTTGCTAATCTTTGGGGTGATATTCTTATTCATACCAAAAACATTTAAAAGTTTCAGTGCGAAATTGAAAAGGTTAAAATGTGAAAGAAAACGCTTGTAACTTATGGTTTTATTTCTTTGTTCCAAACTCGCCACATGTTATTTTATTCGATCAGAATAAGGTAAAATGATGTATTTAACTCGATATTTTTATATAATCAAACAAAGCCACTATTTTTATTTAAAGACAACATGATCCAATATAAAATATGATAATATCAACAAGTAATATGAAAATCCCCATGATTAATTCTTGATGGAATTTGGTGCATTTTCGACAGTATTTACACGTTTAACAAGTATTGGCAACGGGACTAGCGGTGTATATATGTATTGTTTATGTATATTTGGTATAATTAACAAAAAATATGACATTTAAATATGGTGGTTTGATCAATAATTCAATCATTTAGAGCACTTACTACGCCGAGAAGATTACAAATGGGAAGCTAATCCGTACACAACGAATTTTTGCCATTCACAACAATTTTTTATAAATGGACAAATTTACCCTTTCTTTTATTTTACCAAACTTTATACATTACCCCCTCCAACTAAGTTAATATATTTCTTCTACCATGTATATAAATTTTTTTCCAAAATTTTTGTTTTACAATTTCATTTATTTTACTAAATTAATATACTTATTGCACGTGGTATATGTTAAACTTAGAATTATGTTAGAAACCACTCATAGTAAATTGGTTTACTGTTTTCTTTTCAACTAAAAAAATGTATTATGTAATATTTAAAACAACCTTTAATAATAACTTCTAAAATAAAAAAAATATATTTATATCAGTAAACTTTTTACCAAACAAATTATCAAACAACCGTCCAAAGTAGAAAATCAAATAACTATCCAAATAAAAAATAAAAACACTATGACGAGCTCAAAAAGAACTGTCCAAATCAAAGGTATCTAATGGATATACATTTAAATCAATTAAGTTGTTTTCACCATCCACTTTGTTGCGTGTTTGTGATGATTCTACCAACTCAAAACTTGAAGGATCTCGTGTCGTGAAAGTTATTCCTCTTTTCTTTTTTGATTTTGGAGGTCTTCCTTTTGGTCGTTGAATCACGGACTCAAAAATGGTAACAGATTAGTTCACAAGTTTTGTAATCACTGAAAGAACATGTTCTTTCTTGGGTCATCTTTGATACGTTGAGGGCAATTCATTAAGCAACTCATCGAATCTATCGATGCCTTCACAATGCAAATCATTTTGGACATTTAACGATAACTTGTCAAATCCTCCAATGAGGGTGGGTTAAATGCAACCAAAAAGTAGTTCATTGTCAATATTTTATCTTGTGAGCACATGGAAGACCCGTAGTTGTTGTAAAGTGACCGTTACAAGGAGTTATAATACCTAAAAATACCAAATAATTATGCTTTCGGATGGAAACTGACGAAACGATGGATGCCCAGACATGTTCATGTTCGTAGATGGCTCATGGTTATGTGTCAAGTCCTTCACGTTAAATGTCCAAGCGCCATCACCAGCAGGTACATCGCTACATTTTTTGCCCACAATCTTGAAAGGACAATCGTTCAAACGAGATGCGGTAGTTTATTTTCTTTTATTTGTAATACCTCGCATATCTCGATATGAACCACTCCTGTCACATTGCAAAATTGTGTGCTTATCTTTTCTTGAACCACGAACAGATATCTCATATCCTTTAGAATAATAAAATTCTCGAACACTTTTTAATAAATCGTCACACGAGTCAAATTTTGAAGTAGTTAAATAAACTTTTTCACTATTTCCATTTATTCAACAAATCTGGAAGTTCAAATGAATATTCTGGATTAGCTAATCAACAAAAAACAAAAGTACGAAAACAATAATATGGAAGTGGTGTAATATAACAATTCAATACACATATATATCTTTAAGCACGTGATATTCATATAAGAAATACAATATGCAAAACAGTGTAAATCCACTCAAATTGAATATCATAAAGCCTCCTCTATTAAAAAAAGATGTATAATATTGATCATAATTTCATAGAGCACCACAAGAAATGAACCCACTGATCGATGATAATTCCATACAATTTAGAAAACAACCGTAGACTTCCTTTTTGAAGTTTTATACGTACCTTTGCTGGAAGTGATGGCAGAACAGTGGGACGCCGGTGGAGCAAGCTGGCAATGGCGATGAATGGGACGGCGGTGGAACAATCCGGCGACGATGGGTGGTCATGGAGGCTAGAGATGGCAGAATCGATTGTGGGAATTAAATTGCCTTGCATGGAGTCGTTGGTCTAATACTTAGGTAGGGTTTTTTTTAGACTATTTGTGGGGACGGGGTCAAGTGTAAAATAAAAAAAATAAAAAAAAGATAAATTTGTCTATTTATAGAAATTTTGTTGTGGGTGGCCAAAAATCATTATGTACGAATCAGCTCCCTTACAAATGTCATGTCACCCTCTCCCAGGCGGAAAACAAGCCCTTCAAATAATTTCAATAACGGTCTTACCCATATAATTTAGTTATATTTTGAGCCTACACGTAGGTCCAAATGCAATAAATATTGTTGTAGAAAGGATTGATAATCATATAGAAACAATATACACTTTGTTCGGGAAAATTCATATCGGTCAAATCCGGGATCATCACATCCCCTCAGCCGACCAATATGTCACCATCTTCACCAAAGTGCTCTATGTAACATTCCGTTTAAAATTAATTAAATAAATAATAAACTCTAAAGCCCCGAGATGTAATTATTATTATTATTATTCAGACAAATCAATAATATTTAGCGGAGTGTTGGTTTCAGGGAGCCAAATGATATAATTTAGACTTTCGGGGGTTAAAGTGTAATTCCAGGATTTATTTTGTGAATATTTTTAGAAGTCAGGGGGTGTTTGGTAAAATATTGGACTTACATTGAATAAGATTTGGAGGCTAAGGAGCTAAATGGTAAATATTGGGGTTATGTCGAAAAGTTTTGGCGAAGGAGGGGCCATACTTGTAAAAATGGATGGATGTTTGAAAAGAGCACGGGTTTAGACCCGGGCCACCCTTCCCTTCCCGCTTCAAGATTTAGCATCGGTAACCCTAACCCTAGAGCGTCATTTCCCCAGCCGCCACTTGTTGGATTAGTGTCTAAGCCCATAACTATATTTGGGATGTACTTGACTCGGTTGTGCATGGTCCTTTTGGGTTGCCTTCACCATAGCAACTTGACAGGGTGATTCATGGAGAGAGAGAGAGAAGATATTATGGTTTATTAATATATTATTAGAATAATATATTAATAAGAGAAATCATATTATTTAATTAATATTAGTTATAGATTAATTAAGAATTAATTTGGTGACTAAAAGAGATTAATTGAAGAAAAGGGGACTTAAACTGTCAAATGTGTGATAGTTGAATTTTAGGCTGGGAAACCTAATGGATCAAAGGGGTGAACGAAATTATGATGGGAGGCCATCATATTTTCGTCCATGTCCTTATTCCAGAAGGTTCCATGGGCTGCTTAGAGTTTAAGCTGTCCATTAGGGTTTTGACTGAAACCCTAACTGCCCACAGTATAAATAAAACCCTTAGGCTACAAAAATCGGCGAACCCTATTCCTAAGAGCTATAGAGCCGAATTCAAGAAGCCTCCAACCTCTCTCCAAGATCATTCTTTTTGCTATTGGTGTTTGTAAGCCATTAGAGGAGTGACACTTGTGACTCTAAGCTCCAAAGACAAGAAGATTCAAGCCATTGAAGAAGAGGTAATCATCTAGATCTGTTTTCTTATTACAAGGTGATCTTCATTGTCAACAATGATGAAGAATTGCGGGGGGTTGCATTTGTGTACCGGGTGGTATTTTTATGGGCAACGAAAACAAAGGTCGGAGGCCTTCCGTTGTTGAAGAGCTTCAGCGGATAATGGGGTGTATGGGAGAGCAGGGTTGATTTTGGTGGGGGTGGGTAAAAGACCCGCTGAGGTGGGCTATGTGGTGACAGTGGTGTTGGGTTGAGTAGTTGTTGATGGTGTTGAGCGGAAGGGAACGGTGTAGCGGGTTCGGAGACAGGAATCACCCTGTTTATCTTCGATCAATCTGGCCAAGCCAATTGCTTGCTTGATGTTTGATGGTCGGAGTATTGCAAGCTCTTTAACTGATGTCGGTACGGAGGCCAGACAAGAAACAATTAAATAGTGCTTCGGGTGGCCGGCCTGTGATGCAATTGCATAATTGCTCAAATTCGGTCTGATAAGCTGTCACTGAGGATGTTTGACGAAGCTTAAATAAAGCGGCCTGGTGGTTGTCATACGTGGAAGGGCCAAATCGAGTATCAAGCGCTCGTGTGAATGCATCCCGCGTGGTCAGGAGGTCGTTATTGAACAAATATTTATACCAGCTCAAGGCATCGCCGGTCAAGAAGAAGGCGACCATGGTAAGCCGTTCCGGTGGCTCGATTCTGTAGAATGCAAAGTATTGGTCGGCCTGAAAAAGCCAATCCAAAGGGTTGGTGCCATTGAACATAGCGAGTGTGAGTTTGGGTGGTCGAATTAGGTTATCACTGGAACCCGATTTGAACTCGAATTTGGGGGTTTTTCTGAAATGGAGGGATTTTTATCAGTTTTAATTAGGTTCACCAGGAGTGTGTTTGTCTGTTCGTATTGGGTAGAGAGTTGCTTCATAATGATATCAAGTTGAGATTCGGTAGCGGATTGGTTGGCGGTGGACGACTAGTTTGGATAAACTGTCAACCATGGTTGTGATGGCAGATTTCGAGGGTAGGTGGTACATCAGTTGAAACAGATGAAGAGGAGGAGCCGTTTTTGGGAGGCATGATTGAGTTGGGTGAGAGATGAAAGCACCAAATTGTTACAACCTGGTTGAAGGGGG